AAATGTTAAATAAAGGTAAAATAGCTTTCAATGAAAAAAGATTATTTTTGCTCCCTTTTTGCACATGCATGTAAGTACTGAATTAATTTTGCAGAGTCATTACTGTCTTAAACAATTATCGTTAATAAAGCAAACATATTACTTAACCTTAATAATTTGAACAATACGAAAAATTTTTATCTGCTATAGGTTGAAATGTCGAAGTCAACTATGATGGTTTATGGTTTGTTAAAGTCAGCGTGATTGGTTATCTAATGGTGCCTTTGTGATTCACACATAAAATGTGATGCGTCCTGGATATATTGCGTTATGTTACGTGTTATGTTACCTCTGTTGAAACTTTCTCTTGTGACAATGATTTCGGGATAACCGAAATAATTATGAGTTTTTGCAATCGTGTTTTTTTGCCATCATTGTCACATTTATACACAATATTTAACAAGCTCGAGATAAAATTGTCTTAGTAAGAAATTTGATTGAATGTTTATGAAATAATAGTTACTAAATATTCTACAACATTTGAAAAATTGTATGAAATAGCCACTGTCGCTAACCTAAGCCATAAAGTCATAGCTTGTCTATGTCAAATATTTTTTTCTACTCCCACCTTTAAAACGCCCTTTATCGTACATGTTTCCATGACAATAAGTGACCTTTTAAATACACATTGACAAGTTGTGGCTTTATGTCGCTTTAGTCACGGGCTGAAGTTATAACTATAGCAACAGGTTTTTAGTCACGGGCTGAAGTTAGTTTTAAGTTAGTCGACAGTTGTCAAATATCGTACAATCGTTAAAATAAAGTGCCTTTCTTGTAAAATAATACTAAATGTGAAAATTATTTTATTATCTCAATACAAAAATACAAAAGTATTAAATAGTTTCCCAACGCCAATATTTGAAAAATTTATATGAACATTGTACTGACCTTTTAATTTCGCCGGCAGTAAACTATAACTTAAATTCGGGCACGGACTCCACTGTAAAGTGCTCATAAAACATTTTCTTTACTTTAACTGTGAAAAACTGTCAATTTTCAAGAAATACATTTCAAATTATAACCTTTTACCGCCATATATTTTATATTTTTAGGCGTACAACTCCGGTCTTTGCTGATTGTTCGGCGTTTTAACACGCCCAATAGTATGTAGCGTACGTGAATACATCAGTCATATTGTTCTAGCGTTATTACATAACGGATTAAAGTTTTATTTACCGATTATTTTTTAGGTTACCCAGTCTGTACCCATTTCCCTAAATGCCAAACTCTTTAAAACCACTAATAGACAAAATATATTTTTATTGCATGCTTCAATTAAATTTTGTAATTGTTTGTTGCTATTTATAAGAAATAATCTAAATGTTAATTCCTTGTTACGAATTTAATGTATTGGTAAATTAAAATGATTCAACCAAATATCTGATGATATTTATATCTGAGCATTTTGATGAAACCAATAAAATTATCATACGGTATTTCGGTTAAGGTTATGATGCATATTTTTATAATAACACAATTAATAAAATTTAAGTGGGGTGTATATCTATAAATAGGTAGGTATATTAACTCAAAAAATATATACATTTTTAGTGTGATCCAAAGAAATCAACATGAAAGTAGTAAGTATCTGCGCACTCTTATAATGGATTATTAAAAAATTACTAATTTTCAAAGTAAAAAAGCTGCCACTGATAATTAGTCAAATTCTACCGAATACAATAATTAAATTAATAGATTTAAAAAGTTAAAAAAGTTTTGATCCATTTTGGGGTTTGAACTCTGGTTCGCAGCTTGTCAAGCGGATGTCTAACCGAGACATCACTGCGACTTTTGTAACAATCGGTTATATCTGTCTATAAATATTGTTAATAATATTTTGAAGTTGAATATCTCTTTTGCATCTTCGTTTGAAGAACTGTAGTAAAGAAATTAGTTACTTTTTACTCTTAGGTAATCAATATTTTATTTTTTCAGGTTGCCGTCCTTTTCGCTCTTGTAGCTGTAGCTGCAGCTGCCCCACTCGATCAAGACACCCAAGCTGTAGTCTTGAAACACGATAACGACAACATTGGAACTGATGGATTCAACGTGGCGTAAGTAAACACGAAAAACCCTAGAAAAATCACTAAATTGCGGATTTTCAGCTACGAAACCAGCAATGGAATCTCCGCTCAAGAACAAGGACAACTCCAAAACGTTGGTACCGAAAACGAAGCTCTAGTAGTACGTGGTTCTTACAGATACACCGGCCCTGACAATCTAGTCTACGAAGTCACTTACTTGGCTGACGAAAACGGTTTCCAACCACAAGGCGCCCATTTACCAGTACCACCACAATAAATGTATAAGTAGTTGTAGATATGTAAAAAATAAAAAACCGAAAAAAATACCTTGTTTTAACTTTTCCCAAAAAAATACAGACATGCAATATTTGCAAAAAGGTTTGTTTAACAAATGTTGAAAACTTCCAGTTGGTAGGTGACTATTGAAGGAGTGCCAAGAAGGCAGTACCAACATAAACATTTCAAATGGCTTATAATACCTCATTTGAAATATATTTCGATTCTCTATTCAACGCATATCTACAATCTAAAATCTGTTCAATGGTTGTTAAGATATTAAAAGCTTGAATTAAATAGGTACAAGATTTTCATTTATTAAGTACAATAAATTTCCAATTAGTCATCAAATTGGATGTTGGAAATGCTCCCCTTGGACATTTTAACACAATAATCTGTTTCCTACAATATGGTTTCCCAGTTGTGGCGCCCATACATCCCAGATAGCACACAAAGTCTTGAAGATGTCTTTTGTATGTCTGTATTATGCCTGAACGTCTGAAGACCTAAAAAGGACGTCTGAAAGACGTCTTTTGATAGACGTCTTAAAGATATCTTCATTTAATGTTCCAAAGACATCTTATAAATGCGTGAATTTTTTACTTGGCTGACAATAAATATGAAATTAGTAGTAAATATATAAAAAAAATCACATTAAGTTTATCATGGTTTTAATTTCCTCAAAGACTCTTTTAAATCTGAAGAATCTACAATGTTAACAACATTATTAACATTTTTATTTATCAGGCTATATATTTAATTATGCAATAAAGTTTGGAAATATTAAGGATGAGTCTATTATTTCAGATTATAGCCTGCGGCAAGGTTGAAAAGAATATTAAATTAAATTATACACGTGCTAATGCCAATCGCCAAATATGCAAAAGTTGTCCTATTAGGCAAAAATAATCTTATAAGTAGGATCAATTATGATCCATAATCCTTTTGTAAAGGTTGTATATTGAATGATTACATTTATAAAAGGTTTTCACAATAAATAATAATTAGTATAAGTATTTTTTTAATTCGTTGTCTCAGTTCTTGACCACACATAAAAGAAATCGATTGAAGTCAAATCTGCAGATCTTGCCGGTCAATTTAGACCTCCCCCACGTCCAATACATTGTTGCAGAAGACAAAGTCAATCCCAGATAGCAGAGATATCTTAAAGATGTCCAGTTTACGATGTAAGTCATCTTTAAGACGTTTTTAAGATATCTACTGTTACAAAACACATCGTCTTTAATAAAAAAAAGTTTGTTTATACTGTTTTTATTATAATATTTTTATACAAATGGATAATATTAATTGTAATTGTAATAACCAATCTACAAGAATGTCAGATATATATTTATTCAGTTACCCTACCCATCAACGTTGTCAAAACTTAAAATCCTACATTAATGTTGTTTCTATTACACCAAAATAAGATGGTACCTAATTATATCTTACTATGAAGTGGCTGATGATGGGATATAATTTCGATTTCACTATTTTACACTGTTCAAAATTTCATGACCATTTTAACACCAAATTAACATCATACATGGTCTATATCGATACAAACCAAAATTGTGTTAAATAATGTTCGTTGGTCCGGTGTAAATTCAAATACTGAAATGGTGTTAATTTAACGTTCACACAGTATTAAAATAAATTTTACCTGGTGTAAATTGAACTCCTTTTCAGTGTTAAATATTATGTGTTTGTGGTCAAATTAAATCATACTACACAGAAAAAAAAAGGAAACAGGAAGTTCCTTGACGCATTACTAGTATATTACCAGTGGTATTATTCCAGAAAATGGAACCTTCAACTCGCTAAAGATAATGTTTTTAGTGCGTTCCACTAACTTAAAATACTTCAAGTATTGACAGCTGTTTCCACCTATTTAAGGTCTCTTTAGTATCGAACAACTTGTAGTGTCACACCAAAGCAAAGGACTACCTGAGTTTATATATTCTTCATGTAAGTCAACAGAGGCGAGATTTAAGAACATCACGTGATCCACACCACCTTTGCCGCGATCGGTACACATTTTTAACCATAATTCATGGTGTTATATTTACACCACTTGGTGTTGGATTTTGACACCATTTTAAGATTACTTTTTACACCACAGATATTTTAAACAGTGTACCAAAAAAAAAAAATAATAAACGGCGGTATCAGGCATTTATAAGATGTCTTTAGAACATTAAATGAATATATATTTAAGACGTCTATCAAAAGACATCTTCAAGACTTTTTGTGCTATCTGGGATGTATGGGCGCCACAACTGGGAAACCATATTGTAGGAAACAGATTATTGTGTTAAAATGTCCAAGGGAAGCATTTCGAACATCTAATTTGATGACTAATTGGAAATTTATTGTACTTAATAAATGAAAACCTTGTACCTATTTAATTTAATCTTTTAATATCTTAACAACCATTGAACAGATTTTAGATTGTAAATATGCGTTGAATGGAGAATCGAAATACATTTCAAATGAGGTATTATAAGCCATTTGAAATGTTTATGTTGGTACTGCCTTCTTGGCACTCCTTCAATAGTTACCTACCAACTGGAAGTTTTCAACATTTGTTAAGCAAAGCTTTATTTTTGCAAATATTGCATGTCCGTATTTTTTTGGGACAAATTAAAACAAGGTATTTTTTTCGGTTTTTTATTTTTTACATATCTACAACTACTTATACATTTATTGTGGTCCTACTGGTAAATGGGCGCCTTGTGGTTGGAAACCGTTTTCGTCAGCCAAGTAAGTGACTTCGTAGACTAGATTGTCAGGGCCGATGTATCTGTAAGAACCACGTACTACTAGAGCTTCGTTTTCGGTACCAACGTTTTGGAGTTGTCCTTGTTCTTGGGCGGAGATTCCATTGCTGGTTTCGTAGCTGAAAATCCGCAATTTAGTGATTTTTCTAGGGGTTTTCGTGTTTACTTACGCCACGTTGTATCCATCAGTTCCAATGTTGTCATTATCGTGTTTCAAGACTACAGCTTGGACGTCTTGGTCGAGTGGGGCAGCTACAGCTACAGCTACAAGAGCGAAAAGGACGGCAACCTGAAAATAAAATCACTTAGTCACATCACCGAAACACGTCACAATCACAAAGATGAATCTCATAGAAATGGATACTAACGAATTTCATGGTGAGGTTGTTCTTCAAAGGATAATCCAAATAGAGTACCTTACCCAAAAATTAGTTTACTATTTATACTGAATTCGGGTCTTCCCACTTACATATATTTAGGATGATCGTAAATTTAATTCATAACTTATTTTTGGAGTAACCTTTAAATTTCCATGCTTAATTTATGTGCATCAATTAATTTACTGGGTTCAATTTAGCGCTACGTTGTTGGGAAATATATTTTGCGTAAAAGTTATTTTAATTTTTGTATAAAAATGTGTGTAGGTAATTATTTATTTTAAATATCAATGCGTTTATTGCAAATAAGGCTAAATATTTTTTATTTGCATAATACTTAATCTATAGTTATTAATTTTGGCGAAAATATGCGTCATAAATGTGTTGAAGAACTGGCTGCAAAATTTGAACAAACGACAAAAAAAGATTAACATGGCTTTGCCCTTAGTCGGTAAATGGGGTTATAAAATATCACATATTTTACCCATTTAAAATGCATATTACACAAGAACTTGGCGATGATGATCCAAATCAAATCCAATACTAAAAAACATTTGCTTCAGTGATGAGTGTACTTTTTATCTAAATGAAAATGTTTACGAAGTCTGGGAGTCTGGGCAGGACTTTTAGGGGATTTTTGAACAATTTTTTTTTGGTTTACTATACTTTTGTCTTCTTAAGAAGTTTATAAAGCGAGTTGCATACCATACTTTATCTGACAACTGGCTACTGTCACTTTTTTCTAATTTTAACTTGAAGCCAACTTCATCCCTTGCATTAAGTAGGAGTAGAGTAAACAAATACGATACTCATCGCAATGGTAAGGTATTCTCGAAAAATTATAAAAAAGCGTTTTAATTTCTTATTGAGTAGAAAAGATTTTGGCTACCCTACAGCAAATGCCGGCTTGCGTAAAAGGTTACGATGACGTAGTAAATAACTCTGATAAATGTAAAAGAAGAAGACATGGTAGTGTGGTTTGAAGTTAAATGTCATCAGGTATAAGAAGCGCCCGACCCTGAAATCAAATTATAGATACAACGTCTTCTGTTGAATAAAATGAGAAAATTTATAAACGAGTTGACTACAATAAATATTATTATAAAAAATAATTTATCACCAATTCATTTAAATATTTGTGTGGAGCGACATCTTGACAAAAAAAGTAGCCTAATTGGTGTTAGGAATCTGTTTTACCGGCTTAAGATGACAGTGTTAGTTTATTAAAATTATCTGTTAAATCGAAACATAACCTAGAAATAATAGTAAAATAATTATCGTGCGACATATCACTGAAAAGGTCTTTGCAATCTGATCATACCCTGATAGCAAAATTTGATTTTAAGAATCTTCTAAGAAGATATGACCCGGAATAATGGAATATTCTTAGAACCTTCCCTTATTGCTAAGAATGTTCTTAGGGACTTTTAAAACATTCAATAGATACCCTTTTAATGATGCAATTAGATTCTTAAAAGCTTCTTAAAACCTAAGAACATTTTAAGAATACGTTTTTGGAATGTTCTTAGGTTTCTTATGGAGCTTCTAGGAAGCTTTTGAGAATATTTCCAAATATGTCAGATCACGTTCTAATATGTTGTCTGGAGACGACAAATACGCCTCACTATCATAATATTACATTGAAATGTATTTGTCATCCCCTTAAAAAATTTTGCGACATATTAAAATATATTTATTTAAAAATATTAAATAAACAATTTGACCTCTAAACCATAAGTTGTATGACATTATTTCATAAAAAGTAAAATTGGAAAATTTTAGATTTGAAGTTAAAGATAGTTAGAATTATTATTAATAAAAATGTTAATTCAGAAATAAAAAATCGGTATACAAATTAATAAATATTTATTTTTAACATAAAATAAAATACCAATAGTTAAAGTATTTTTGTTATCGAATATTGTTTTAATTTGACAAATAACTATAAAAATATTTTGGATTGTGTTTTTTACTTAGTATTTAATACTAATTACTAATTAGGTACTTAAGTATAGGTATATATACGTAGTTTATGGTATATTTTACTATTACTAAATATGCTTAACAGGAATATTCCTAAATGAACTTTCTATAGCAATTAATTTCTTAACATTCTAAGCATATGTTTAGAGTAGACTAGTTTTTACCACTAAAACTTTGCACCTTCTAAGAACCTGCCTATAGGCCAGTATGAAGAAATTTAGCATGATCCTAAGAATATTCTCACTGGAAGGTTTAAAAAACATTCTTAGAATAAAGTGTGCTATCAGGGTAACCATCTACTTATTTTTTAGATTGTATATAGGGTTTATAAGAAATAAGCAACATAAGATTTACATCAAAAACGTTTTGTTTTTGTAATGTTTAAATTTGGAACAAACTGTAGAAATATAAAAAAATTGATACTTAAATTTATAATCAAAATCATGTAATATTTTATTAGCATATAAATTTGTAAATTCCTGTGTGGGTAAATGTTAATATATTTTGTCTTTGAATAGTTAAAATCTTGTTTCTGACTTTTTTTATTGGTGTTCCACCGAAGGTCGACTCATCAAATTTTCTGAAAAATATTTGGCTTTGGTTGGCACCATGTTTATTTTACATTTAATGAGGTTTGGCAGTATATTGCTGGTAAAGGGGTAAGAAGATTAGCTTTAATACTTTATGCATAAATAGAGATAGGTTACTACTTGCAAGAAAACAATGAAAATATGATTATGGTAGTCACCAAATAAATCAAACAAAATATCCCTGTTGTCGGGTTTTCTAGAAGAAAATGACAGATTGATAATTTTTGTTGGACAAATTTAAATTTGTCATGATATTCAGAAAATCTTTTAAGACTTAGAAAAGGGTAAAAAAAAAATTCCAGCTTATAGCATTTAATCTAAAAAACATCTCTATTAAACAATGCGTGAATGATGCTGGCCAAGTTAAATGGCTTGGGAATGGAATCCATCTTTAATTAATTATTATTCTTAACGCGCATTTTTCCTTTATCTTCTTCTTGTTTTTGCCGCAATATTACGAAACCGCCATATGCATGAGACACGATCTGGGACATTCTTTGTCAAGGTCAATGCCGAGAAACCATCCTAACACTGGCGCTCAACATTTTCATCTTCATTTCGATTTTTTTCAACTGGTTAAGTAGTTTCTCACTTTCGATTTCAAACGGTGGGCCCGATAATTATTCACTTAGATAAGTGGTCGATTTGAAGCCTAATATAGACAAGGTATTATGTCTATGAAAACAATATGATTAATTTAAGAAGTACAGTTCATTTTTTTTATCTGGACTTCTGCTAAAGAATTTAATTAAATACTTTGACACTGTCATTAATATTTATTATTGATAATTTACTTATCAAATATAAATAAAAAGATAATTATGCCAAAAATAATAGCAACGAATTCGAATGTAAAAGCCCTTTTGAGGACAAAACTTTATTTTGATGAAATTATGCCAAAATGGAAGAAAAAGTACATCGCCCTATGGACATTTTTGGAGTAAAAAAGTAACGAATTTGGTTTTATAAATATTACATCACACATTATTTTCACATTATTCACCATTGGACAACATTTACGTTCACAAAAAAATTTTAATTTCTTTTATATAAATTCTTTTCAAACGGAAGATTATTTTACGCTAGGAATTTTTTCTCTTCTGGGCCGTAAAGCAACCTATATTTAACTACTTTTTTCGACAACTCAACTTGACAGCTGCACAATGTAACCTACAATAATTTATACATAACCACAATTAGATTTATAACTAGCTTAGTTTGTTTCAATCAATGCGACCAACTTGACAATTGTATTTACCAACCAAAACCCTAAATTTGCAACGTTGCCGCAGTCCAGATAAAAAAAATAAACTTTAAGACAATTAAGGCAGTGGCGTATCATTTTTTTTGTTAAAAAATACAAAGGCATGTCACCTAACATTTGTTGAACAGTGTGTTCCCGAAATGACTGAACCCGTTTCACTAAATTTGTTCACTAGGTAACTGATGTATTTTTGCCTGTATGACTTCATAGATTGGGAAATTTTAATAAAATTTAACCTAAAATCAACTATTTTAAAAAGAAATTTTGACATACATTTCACAAGTTAATTATGTATTACCTACTTCTCCTATACTAAAATTATCTAATCCATCTTATTTATTTTTTATTTAACCATTACAATGTTAAACCAATTAAAATAGTTAAAGATAATGACATTGATTTGATTTATAGCAATACTTTTTTAAATGATTATATTTTCAACATATAAAATATTAAAAACCTTAACCTCCTCAATTGTGAGAAAATGATAAATTTTGTAAAATATTATTGCTGATGGCACAAAAATTTCATAACCTACCGTATATTAATAATTACCTCACCAAAGACATCCTAAAGATGAAATAATCGTCGCTATCAATCAAAATACCAAAGTGGGGGACAATTAGGATTATAAGAGTATATAAAGAATAATTTTGACTATTCAAAGCAAGTTGTAGTTCACAAGTATCATCATCATGAAAGTAGTTAGTATTCGATTATCGCAGTGCTGTGAAGTGCTAAAGTGCATAAGGATTATTTCTTTATTTTTTCAGGTTGCCGTCCTTTTTGCTCTTGTAGCTCTCTCGTACGCCGCTCCGCCGCAAGGGGGCGCCGATAAGGACGCAGTAGTCCTGAAATACGATAACGACAATATTGGAGTAGATGGATACAACTTTGGGTGTGCCCTTTGAAATTCCCCAGTCAGAAAATCATTAAAATACTTTATTTTAGTTATGAAACCAGCAATGGCATTTCCGCCCAAGAACAGGCCACTTTGAACAACGCCGGTTCGGAAAATGAAGCCATTGCCGTTCGTGGTTCCTACTCCTTCACTGGCCCAGATGGAGTTGTGTACACTGTTAACTACATCGCTGACGAAAACGGTTTTCAACCACAGGGAGACCACTTACCCAAGGCCTCCTAAGATGTTTATTACATCTGAATTGTACATAAAATAAATTATTTTTTGTTAATGTTTTTGTTTTATTTTTAATGGCGATTACAATATTGGACGAACCCATACAAAATTAGTGAATTATTGGGGGTAGACGATGAACCTAAATTAAAATCAAACTCAAAAGAAAAGTGTCTAAATGTATTATACAATTTTTTTCATTCGGAATTTGACAAATTTGATGTCAATATACTTTGGTATTTTTAATATTTAAAATTGGTACTCTTGCCAATGCCGTAATTTTAAATACTTTGACATTTAATTGTAAGAACTACAATAAACAATACCAAAGATATCAGAAATTCTAAACGAAAAGGAGTTTTCAAAACAAAGCAGAATTTTGATGAAATAATTTTTGGAGTAATATATTGTTAACGTTTAGTGACTTCAGTGAAAGACCCATTCACCATTGGACAAAATTTAAGTATTTACAGTGTGAATTTCACACGTCTTCAAATATATTATTCTATCTATATATAATTGGGGTAAAAATTGTACAGTTTAAACCTTTAACTGTAAAATTTCTACCCCAATTATATATAGATAGAACAATATGCATCTTTAAGACTTAAAACAAGACTAACCTCAATTTAAAAAAAAATGCAGATAGAACACTATAATTCTCAGGTGACGATTTGTCGCGTGTGTTAGTTAATTTTGCCGACCCTTTGGCAAAATTTGAAAATAATACAACTGAAAATTCAACAAAAATCTGTTTAAAAAACTGAAAACCTGTCAAATCCAAAAGTCGTTATAATTTACATGTAAAATTTACTTTCTTTCCAAAATTTGCAGGAATAATAAAGTTGTAACGATTTTTGGTTTTGGAATTTTTCTAGTTTTTTTCATTTTTTTTAAGAACCGAGCGATGTGTTTTTTCCAATTAATAAATTTTATTTTAATAATCTTGTAATTACTCAACTTTTCTCTAATTTAACCGACATTATAACTATTTAAATAAAATAAATTGTTTTTTCTACTCCCGCCTTTAAAACGACCATTATCGTACATCATAACTTCGTTATAATGAAAAAGAGTATTTTATCTTTTTTAAAAAAATCGGTATCTTGGTTGTAAGTGCAAACATACAATTGCAATATTTTCGGTCCACCCAGTATAGTACTCACATATGGACAATTTAAACCAATTCAAAAAATTTGATTTGGTTCACAATATGTACGTTTTAATTAAGGTTCGTTTTCTACCACTAATATTGTGGTAATATGTTGAAAAAACCAACAGGAAATGGTTGAAAAAATGTATGTACCAAACCATAGATAACAAAGCCTTTATGTACCAAACGGGTCTTTAATTGAAGTCAATATACATTAATTCTTGTAGCTCGTTTATAAGGATTATATAAATCAAAAATCTCTTTTAGCTGGTTATTAATCTTTTCCTCCTCTGTAGCATTGGAAATTATTTCATCAAAATGCAGTTTTTTTTTAAAAACTTCTTTTCGGTTATAATTTTTGACATCTTTGACATTTTTTATTATAATTATGACAATTAAATGTCAAATTATTTAAAATTAAGGCCTTGGACAGGACTACCAATTTTAAATATTAAATTTACCAACGTATCACACGTATCAAATTTGTCAAATTCCGAATAAATAAAACTGCATAATCAAGCCTGATTTATACATTGCCTTCCTTCCTTTCCTTTCCGTACGGGAATCTATAAACGGCACTACGGTTTTTGTATTGTTCCTCTTTCACGGGAGGAAGGTAGGAAGGAAGGAAGGAAGGAAATCAGGCTTGATTATGCAGTTTTATTTATTCGGATAAATCAGGCTTCAGTATTTTTAGTTAGACACTTTTCCTTTGTCTTTAATTTTAATAAAGGTTCATCGCCCCCCCCATAATTCACTAATTTTGTATGGGTTCTTCTAATATTGTAATCGCCATTAAAAATAAACAAAAACCTTAACAAAAAATAATTTATTTTATGTACAATTCAGATGTAATAAACATCTTAGGAGGCCTTGGGTAAGTGGTCTCCCTGTGGTTGAAAACCGTTTTCGTCAGCGATATAGTTAACAGTGTACACAACTCCATCTGGGCCAGTGAAGGAGTAGGAACCACGAACGGCAATGGCTTCATTTTCCGAACCGGCGTTGTTCAAAGTGGCCTGTTCTTGGGCGGAAATGCCATTGCTGGTTTCATAACTAAAATAAAATATATTAATGATTTTCCGACTGGGGAATTTCAAAGGGCACACCCAAAGTTGTATCCATCCACTCCAATATTGTCGCTATCGTATTTCAGGACTACTGCGTCTTTATCGGCGCCCCCTTGCGGCGGAGCGGCGTACGAGAGAGCTACAAGAGCGAAAAGGACGGCGACCTGAAAAAATAAAAAAATAATCCTCATGCACTTTAACACTTCACGGCACTGTGATAATCGAATACTAACTACTTTCATGATGATGATACTTGTGAACTACAACTTGATTTGAATAGTCAAAATTGTTCTTTAAATACTCAAATAATCCTAATTGTCCCCCCCTTTGGTATTTTGAATCATAGTTTGTTATGACGACAATTATTTCATTTTTAGGATATTTTTGGTGGCGCAACCAATAGAATTTGGTTGGTAATAATGCGTAGCGGTTATTAAGTAATTAAGAATTTTTGTGCGATGTGTAATATGGGTTATTATTATTTATTTGACATTAAAAAAATATTTATTTATTTTATTAATGGAGTTATTATAAGATTTATAAGGAGAAAAAATTAAAAATACTAGGTATATAGTCATAGATATTTTAAGTCATACAAATTTAACAACAAAAAAATTGTATTTTAATAATTTATAATTGAGAAACAATTCAATTTATGTTATTTAAAATTTTATCACGCGCCGTGCTCATGTTAAAATAGACACGAATCTTCCTCTTTCTTTAGAATTCGAATATTTTCAATTAAATTTTGTAACTGCCTTCGAGCTATAAGACGATATATTCCTATTTCATAACAAACTAATAATGTCACATGATAATGTGTGTGCTTTGTCAAGTTATTTTATTATTTTAAATTATACACTATGCCTACATCTTTTACTTTTTACGACCCAATATCAATAAATAACAATAATGTGCTTTAAATGATAATTTAATAATATACATTGGATCCCCGGATTGACTTGAGAATCTCAACTTGAGATTATAGTTTAATAAGAATCTAAGTCACTGATTTACATAAAATATTTATTGTACAATCCTATTATTACCTTATGGGTTGGGGAAAATTAGCTTTAAGTGGTTTAAGACATGTTAAGAGTATCGCGAAAAAACTCTTTTGAAAAGGAATTATTTGAACAATACTTTTAGAGAAAAATGGATTTGTAGATGGGCCACAGCCATATTACCCAGTGGATATTACCCACTAAGTCCGGATTTAACAACAGGTTTTTACGTTAAAATAAAGTGCCTTTCTTTTAAAATATTACTAAATGCGAAAATTATTTTATTAACTCAATACAAAAGTATTCAATAGTTTCTCAACGCTAATATTTAAAAGTTTAAATAAACATTTAACTTAATTAATTTCGGGTGGAGACTTCACCGTGAAGTGCGCATAAAACATTTTCTTCACTTTCACTGTGAAAAACTGCTGTTAGTTCATTTTCAAGGGATACATTTTGATTTGCACATAAACATTTGTCATTTTGGTTACTCTATTATTTCAAAGATGTCGCTTTTTACGAATATTTAATTTAAATAATTTTTAGATAATAAGTATTTTTACAATTTTTACGAAATGATATTCAATTTTATTATTATTATTATTATATTATTCAGTTTTACTAACCCTTACAAAATATTACTTATTAGATATAATTGTTATTTATATTTCTATTTCTATACACGCACAAATATTTAATTACATTTAAGTGTTTTAGCATATTTATTGATTTTAATCATGTATTTTCTCTACTTATCAATAAATATTATTATTATAATTTTGTATACATTGTATGTATTAAATAAAACGAATTACATAAATGAGTCGCTAATTCTTCAAAAAGGTCAACAAAACAACCAGTTTTATTATTAAACATAAACATATTAATAAATTAGTTTGAGTGGGGGCAAGGGGGTACTTAGATGCAAGTATCTGCATAGGTATATAAACAAATTTTTCGATTTTGGATTTATCAAATTTTGCATTTGTCTCCTTTAAGCAACATGAAAGTGGTGAGTGCATTTTAATTTAAAATATTTTTTAATTTTCATTTACAGTGTTATAAAAATTACTAAAATTTTTTTTTGTATTTTAGGTAGCTGTTTTGTTCGCTCTTGTAGCTGTAACCTTGGCTGCCCCCCAAAACCTTGACAAGGACGCCACTGTGGTAAGAAATGATATGGACAACATTGGAGTAGAAGGATACAAATACGGGTAATTGCAATTTAAAATGGAAAATAAAAAAACTTAATTTTCCATTTTTTAGCTATGAAACCTCCAACCAAATCTCTGCCCAAGAAGAAGGACAATTGATCAACCCAGGAACTGACGCCGAATCCATTGCAGTCAAAGGGTCTTTCAGATACCTCGGTGCTGATGGTATCACTTACGAAGTCACTTACATCGCTGACGAAAACGGTTTCCAACCACAAGGCGCCCATCTACCAGTACCACCACAATAAATTAAATTAAAAAATGAATAAATAAAAAAGCATTAAATAAATCAAAAAAATAAAACTAGTTTTATTTTGGCGATTTTCGGCATCTTCCATTTTTTTTAATGAAAAGGAAAGTAGATATAAAAATTATAACCTTGACTTTTAAAGATTCCCAAATATATTTAAAATTTAAATTAATTTGATGACACCAAGGATATACTACATTCTATCTATAAAATTACAATGAATTTAAAAATAATGCTGGTTTAGTAAAAAGCTTTACACTAGGAGTTCAAATTTTCACCTTAAGAGTTGGAGTTTGTACTCTTGTAGTGTAACACATTTAGTCAACGAAATGCATTTGCATTTGGTCCTAATATCTGGTTTTCTCTATACAATAATTTTAACTAAACATCATTTATTAAAAAAAATCTAGCTTCGCTATTATGGAATAAGAATATCTGTTTTAATGGTAGGTTAATATATTATAACAAAAATTTCATCTAATTTTGTAATTTTAAGGTTAGGAAAATTTATTTTGACCAAATTAAATAAGTATTTTGGATTATTTAAAAATATGGTATTTAAAAATGTGGTAGTTTTTCTTATCCAGCTTAAAGTGTACCTACATAAAGTTTTGTCAATACAAATAGTTAAAGAGCTTCGACTGAACTTGATCTACATCCAAAAATGATTATAACCTTAAAAATTTTAATAAACCACATGTCATGGGAGTATTAAACATTTTTACATTGCAAGTTTCTCTAAAAATTGTTTGTTTTCTTATAATCTAACTTAAAGTAGGTATGCCGAGAGGTATGCGCAAGTTTTGTCATTAGAAGTATAAAAGCTTCAATTTAATTTGAACCATATTTAACAGTTACCTTAGTATACCTATATTTATTTATGACCATATTAACACACTCTTCCAAATAATCCACTTATTTATTTTGGTCAAAATAGATTTTTCTAACCTTAAAATACAAAATTAGATGATATTTTTTGTTCGAATACATTAACCTACCTTTGATACAGATATTCTTATTTCATAATAGAGAAGTTAATTTTTTTTTAATAAATGCTGTTTAGTTAAAACTATTTTATGGAGAAATGTAGACCCAATGCACAAAAATATCACTTATATTGTACCATATACTTTGGAATTTCATTAAATGCAGTATTTATATTACTAAATTCTTAAACCAACCATTGTTATTGTGATACTATAAACTTTTAACGCTTAAACATAAAGGGTAACACTATAAATATTATTTCTTTCATTGACTATACTTTGACAGATACATAACCTGAAAAGCCTTAATTGCCAAAAGACTGCATTCCGTATACGTGGTCACGTGGTGGGACTTTAAGGTGTGGAGCATAGTACATTAAACTGAGCTATTGTACGAACTGTACTTGAAATTTGTCTGTACTATTGTACAAAACGCTATTTTTACGCGATTTTCGACCTTAAACCAAAACAAAATGCAATTTTTGACATTATAAACCATGATGAGTAATATACTTTGAAATTGACTTAACTTTAGTTAATAATTATAAACCTCAACTAAACAGCTTGGTGCATTCTTCCGACACAAATTCTGAGAGAACAATGAACGAAACAAGTTTGCGTTTTTGTCAACTGCACACCCCCTGATTGCATATTTACACTAATGTGCACTGCCAGAGCTTGGCTAGTGTTAAATGAATATTTAAGTGTAAAGTTAGATTGATGTGGAACACTACTATCATTCCATCGCACTTAGACGAAAAAATATATTTTAGGATTAAAAATTTTACTGTGTATGGTTGCCAAACAGTGCATTTATTTTATCATTACCTTCAATCTTCCAACACTCATGACCCATTGGCAATTTCCTAACACCTTTAAAAACAAAAATTCTCCCAGTACAAGTAAATACCAACATTTACCTACCAAGCATAATTAAATTTTATTGTTTTAATAAAAACCAATTAGTCAGTTAAACTAAACGTCTAATTTCATGCTTATCACGGTTAATTGACGTTAACTACACCGTGGAAGCGGTGTAAAAGGCCCGATTAAATCTGAAAAACAAACAGGTGTTCATTATGAAGCGAGCTTCACTTGTTGTTATTAATTATACCAGACAAACGTAAAATTGAGTGTAAAAAGTTATGACCTTTAAAGGAATTTGCAAATACTCATGGATTGTAATGATTTAATAATTTATCGACATATTACACCATAATTTAAGTTAAAAATTTACTGGATGAGAGTTAAACTTTATTTTATCTTGCAATTAAACTAGTAAACTGATTAATTTTACACCTTTTTCAGACGACTCCTCGTAAATTACAATATCTGTGACCAGAAAGCATCCCAATAAGGTTAATGTATTCGAATGATATAATTCGTGATGATAGCTGAATAAATAATTTATTTTGGCAATTTTAGTGGGGGTGTTCTTTAACTATAAATAAAAAAGCAAAACCTCATAATTCGTCATTGTTTTTTCAACAGTATCATCATGAAAGTAGTGAGTATCAGTGAACTTTAGTCGTGCCCTTTAGAGGATTAACTTTGCCAAAATAAAAAATTATTTTTTGTTGTAAGGTTTTAATTTTAACTTTTTTTAAAGGTCGCCGTTCTTTTCGCCGTTTTGGCCGTAGCTGCAGCTGCCCCTCAGCAAAGAGGTCCTGAAGCTGATGCCGTTGTATTGAGACAGGAAAGCGACAACATTGGACTTGATGGATACAATGTTGCGTAAGTAAATGAAACATATTGCGCTGGTTTTTATTCAATTAATATTAACCCCACAAGAAGTCTCAGAAAACCATTTAAAAATTTCCAAATCTAAAAGCTTAATGTACATTACAGGAACACCAGAGATTACAAGGCCATTGTAAAGGGTGTAAGAAAGACATTTTATGAGAGAGATGTTTTTTTTACTATAACTTAGGGTTCAAGTCAGGACTTCTTGCTGGCCATGGCAAAACATTTAAATTCTGGTTGTTGTGGCTCTTACTAATTGTCCTGTAATAAAATTTTCTAATATGTTTATGTAATTTGCGGCTGTTAATTGTCCATTAATAAGCCAGCTTATTTTATGATTTAAGAATTTTTTGGAATATTTTAAGAAGATTTTTGGGGTTTTGTTAGATTCGTTAGGATATTTTAAGATACTTGAGATTTTGTAAGAATTTTAAGATTCTTTGGGATTTTGTTAGGATTCTTTGCGATATTTTAAGAAGCTTCTTAGATTTTGTAAGAATTTTAAGTTTCGTAAGAATTTTTTAGAATCTTTTAAGATTCTGTAAAATTTTGTTAGAATTAGAAGATTTTTTAAAATTCTTTAGGATTTTGTAAGAATGTTTAAGATTTCATAAAGATATTTAGGATACTTTCAAATTTTTTGGATTTTTTGGAAAATTTGGATATTTTTAGATTCTTTGGATTTTGTAAGAATTATAAGATTCTTTGACATTGCTTATGTTACCCATGTGATACAAATGACAATAAATATATTATTATTTTTATTAAATTAAATATATTATTTTTAAATTTTAAGAAATTCTCAGGATTTTGTAAGGATTTTGAAAATTCTTTGGGTTTTTTAAGATTTTTATTTTTTAAGATTCTTTGGATTTTGTAAGAATGTTTAAGATTTCGTAAAGATTTTTAAGATTCTTTACAATTTTCTAAGGATTTTAGGATTCTTTGGCCAATTGGAATTTTTTTTAGAATCTTGTGATTTTGTAAGAATTATAAGATTCTTTAAGCTATTTTAAGAAGCTCCTCAGATTTTGTAAGAATGCTTAAGAATTTTTAGGAACTTTTAAGATTCTTTAGGATTTTGTTTGAATTTTAAGATTCTTTGTGATTTTGTAAGAATTTTTAGAATTTTATAAGAATTTGTTTTTTAAGATTCTTTAGGATTTCTTTTAGAATTTTAAGATTCTTTGTGATTTTGTAAGGATTTTTAGAATTTTGTAAGAATTTTGAAGTTTGTAAGGATTTTTAAAATTCTTTAGGATTTTTAAAGTTCTTTAAAATTTTGTTAGTAATTTAAGATTGTTTGGGATATTTTAAGAAGATTCTCAGATTTTTCAATTTTGCTAAACATTTCTAGGAACTGTTAAGATTTTTTAGGATTTTGTTAGAGTTTTAAGATTCTTTGTAAAAATTTTGAAGAGTTTGTTTTTCAAGATTCTTTAGGATTTTGTAAGAATTTTAAGATTCTTTGTGATTTTGTAAGAATTTTTAAAATTTTGTAAGAATTTTGAAGAGTTTGTAAGGATTTTTAAGATTCTTTAGGATTTTGTTAGAAATTTAAAATTTTTTGGGATATTTTAAGAAGATTCTCAAATTTTCAATTTTGCTATGGCCCTTGACTTCTGAGCTTCCGTTAGATTCTGTGGCGTTTTTGGTTAATAAATTGACAGTTATTTTATAATAATAATAAAATACACTAAATTACACTAGAACACTTGCCGTTCACATTTGGATGTCCTTTACTGTACAGTGTACAATGCACATTTTTTCATTTTTATTTATACAAAAAAGCTGGTGATGACTGCCCATCAGTGATGTTATAAAATGTATAATAAAAGAGATGTTCATATAATAAAAATAAACTTTTTTTTAGTTACGAAACCAGCAATGGAATCTCTTCCCAAGAACAAGGTCAACTTGTAAACCCTGGCACCGATGCCGAATCCCTAGTAGTACGCGGTTCTTACAGCTACATCGGTATCGACGGTCAAACGTACAAAGTCGATTACTTGGCTGACGAAAACGGTTTCCAACCACAAGGCGCCCATCTACCAGTACCACCACAATAAGTCAAATTATATAAAATAGTGTAAATAAAAATGTACAAAAAAAGTTAATAATACAAATTTTGTTAAATATGTTTTGGTTTTATTTTCCTTAAATAAATATAAATTAAAAAAATTAAATGGGACACCCTGTATATTTTTACATATTTTAAAATACAATTTAATTTGGAACAAAAAGTTTTAAATGCAAAACTACCCTAACTTAAAAATAAACAATTAATAAATAGGCACGTTTGGATATTTTAGGATTCTTGGGATTTTGTAAGAATTTTTAGATTCTTTAGGATTTTCCTAGGATTTTTAAGAAGCTCCTTAGATTTTGTGAATATTTTAAGTTTCTTAAAATTTTTTAGGATATTTATATATAGGATATATATTTAAGGATTCTGTTGCAATTTTAAGATTTTTTGTGTTTTTGTAAGGAGTTCTAAAATTTTGTAAGAGTTTTAAGGATATTTTAAGGTTTTTTAAATTTCTTTCAGATTTTGTAAGATTTGCAAAGATTTTTAAGATTCTTTCAATTTTTTTAAGGATTCTTTAGCAAATTGGGATATTTTTAGATTCTTGGGAATTTGTAAGAATTATAAGATTCTTTGACATTGCTTGTCACCCATGTGATCTAAATCTAAATCTAATGAATATATTATTATTACTAATATTAAATTAAATATATTATTATTAAATTTTAAGAAAGTCTTAGGATTTTGTAAGAGTTTTTAAGATTTTGTAAGGATTTTTAAATTCTTTAGGATTTTGTTAGAAATTTTAAGATTCTCAGGATTTTGTAAGAAATTTAAGGTTCTTTAGTATTTTGGTTAGGATTCTTTGGGATATTTTAAGAAGCTTTTTAAATTTTGTAAGAATTTTAAGATTCTTAATATTTTTTAGGATCTTTTAAGATTCTGTAAAATTTTGTTGAAATTTTAAGATTCTTTGTGATTTTGTAAGGATTTTTAAAAAATTCTTTAGGATTTTGTAAGAATGTTCAAGATTTCGAAAAGATTTTTAAGGATTCTTTGGCAAATTTGGATATTTTTAGATTCTTGGGATTTTGTAAGAATTATAAGATTCTTTGACATTGCTTATGTTACCCATGTAATATAAATGGCAATAAAAATACTATTATTTTTATTAAACCAAATATAGAAGAAATTCTTAGGATTTTGTAAGGATTTTTAAAATTCTTTGGGATTTTTTTAAGATTCTTGGGATTTTGTAAGAATGTTTAAGATTTCTTAAAGATGTTTAAGATTCTTTACAATTTTCTAAGGATTTTAGGATTCTTTGTCCAATTGGGATTTTTAGAATCTTGTGATTTTGTAAGAATTATAAGATTCTTTAAGATATTTTAAGAAGCTCCTCAGATTTTGTAAGAATGCTTAAGAATTTCTAGGAAATTTTAAGATTCTTTAGGATTTTGTTAGAATTTTAAGATTCTTTGTGATTTTGTAAGAATTTTGTAAGAATTTTGAAGAGTTTGTTTTTTAAGAATCTTTAGGATTTTTTAGAATTCTAAGATTCTTTGTGATTTTGTAAGGATTTTTAGAATTTTGTAAGAATTTTGAAGAGTTTGTTTTTTAAGATTCTTTAGGATTTTGTTAGAAATTTAAGATTGTTTGGGATATTTTAAGAAGGTTCTCAGATTTTTCAATTTTGCTAATAATTTCTAGGAACTTTTAAGATTCTTTAGGATTTTGTTAGAATTTTAAGATTCTTTATGATTTTGTAAGAATTTTTAGAATTTTGTAAGACTTGAAGAGTTTGTTTTTAGATTCTTTAGGATTTTGTTAGAATTTTAAGATTCATTGTGATTTTGTAAGAATTTTTAAAATTCTTTAGGATTTTGTAAGAATGTTTAATATTTCGTAAATATTTTTAGAAATCTTTTAAATTTTTTAGGGATTCTTTGGCAAATTTGGATATTTTTAGATTCTTTGGATTTTGTAAGAATTATAAGATTCTTTGACATTGCTTATGGGGTTATATACAGTTAGAAGGCCAAAAAAAAGTGAATTTTCCAGAAGTTTTTCTGAGAAAACTTTTAAATTTATTGATACAAAAATTTATACACATATTATGGTATATTTTAACTATATTTTAAGACTTAGTACTAGTAAAAATATTTATTTGGAAAAGAGCTACAGCTGATCTCCGGGAGCTCCTCTCAAAAAAGACGTTTTGTGGTGACCACTATATCTCTGAACTGGATTATCTGAATTTAAAAAACCAAACAGATTTCGTTAAAGTAATGTTAAATCTAGTAATTAATCGAAGGAATAAGCAAAATAAATTTTTTTAACGAAATGGCGGTTTCTCAAAAAAAAAATCGATTTTTCACCGAAATTTCGGCCTTAAATTGTTTACAAATACAAAAATATTTATCGGAGAGAAAAAATATTCGATTAATTACTAAAAAATATATTTAAGAAGCTCGTGTTAAAATTTGAGATTAATCGGTTTAGCCGTTTTCGAGTAATGTTGGTCACCGACTTTGAAAACACCATTCTGAGAAAAACGCGTTTAAAGTTTGGAATGCAGTTTACATGGGATAAAAAAATTTTTGTTTAACTTACATGGAGTCGTCTTTTCCAGGCCCATATAATACACCCTGTTCACACTGTTGATTTACACATCTAAATACATTAGAAGGGAGCATTTACAATAGGCAGGTGCATAAAAGGGTAGTAGCTGCCGCTCCGGCCTTGTACTTCCAAGCACTTTGAAACGCCTTTTCAAATTTGCGTGTAACTTTGAAAATATTTACCGGAACGATATGAAATTTTCTGTGTGTATTCTTAAATATATGTACATTAAGAAAAAAAATAAAAAAAAATCGATTTTTTGAAAATTCTAACTGTATGTAACCCCTTATGTTACCAATGTGATATAAATGGCAATAAATATATTATTATGTTTATTATATTAAATATATTATTAAATAAATTTTTAGAAATTCTTAAGATTTTGTAAGAGTGTATACAAGGTGTTCAAAATTGGCCTATAGGTAATTTTCTTATTTCACATTGCATTAATTGATAAAATCATACATATGTATGCAATAATATATTTATTATTTGGGTTATATAATGCATTAATTCTAAAGGTAATGTAAAAAGATGGCATTTAAAGTTTAAAAAGTTCAGTATTCAAGAGTCAATTATAATGAAATTTGAATGGGTTCTTTATTTGGACCTGTGAAATATTTGTGAGTGTATGCACAAAACTTGTTAGCATTTAGTGTGAGAGACAAATCTGTGCAAAGTTTACAAGTGAATATGGCAAATTTCATATAATATGACAATTTGGAATTTTGTTTAGTTAAAAAATTAAGTAATTTTTTTATTATTTAGTATTCTTATGCAGAAGTACACAGAGAAAAATAAATTTTGTTTTAATCCTGAGCATATTTTGTAAAATTATTCAGAACAATAATTTACTAAACATTCCTAGTCTAGGTACCTAATATCTGATGTCACCACTTTTGATTTTACTTTATTGTTATTTTATAAACAAAGAATAATTAAACCAAATAATGTATTAAATGACTAAACATTAGCATATAAATGGTATAAAAGGAATTTGTTCATTAAATAAGTTTTCACAAATAAAATTAATCACAGTTTAATTTTGCAATCTTGCAGCCTTATTGGGAACTTATTTTTGTGTCAATGATTAAATTACACAGTTTTTAAAAAATATACACAATTTAATTTTTAATCGATTAACATAATTAGTTTACAGCCATTTTGCCCACCATGTCTCCCTATAATTTTCTTGTGTAGTTTGGCTCACTAAACGCGAAAATCACACTTTTCATGGAAGAGTTTTCGAGATATGAATTTTAAATTGTTTTTTTAAATTTTCTGAGGTGTTTTGACGTTTTAGAGTATACTTCGAGTTCTAATTGATCAATTTGACCAAACAAGCACTTAAATCAAAGGTAATTGAGCCCTCTACAACTTTCTTTTGTATAGTTTTGGTATCGGCTCAGTAGTTCTCGATACTGGCGATTTTATGAAGTTGAAAAAGTCCTTTTTTTTACAAAAATCGAGGTCGAAAATTTACATATCTTTCTGGGAAAGGTATAATTCGAAAAGATAAGTCCAGTTTCATTAGCTGGTGAAAACGTTCTCCGTGCTCATCACTTACGTCACCCAGATTGTCCGGGTTATTTACGCACTCGAACTCTCTACTTCTTTTACTCATTTTACACTTTTTATTAACTAAATTAAACCATGATAAAAATACCTTGTTGAAATATCAGAAAATAGCAGTAAAATGTCACTATGCCAACGAGAAACAAAAGAATTCACGTTTGCGGAGTCATGTCAAATTTAAATTTTAAATAATGTTTTCGGTGAAAAAGTACGTAAAAAACTCAAAAAATTCCAATCATGCACTTTTCTTGGGTTTTCATTAAAGAATAAACAAATTACAAAATAAAATAAAAAAAATAAAATAAAAATCGTCAAAAAGCTGAATTTTGGTCTCCCACTAAAAAATTCATAACTTCGCCATTTTTCCATGTATTTTTATCAACATAAGCTTGTTTTTTTTTAAATGTCAGCTTCACGAAAAAAAATCAAACTGGAGTTTTCTGTTTGATTTAAACCTTTCCCAGGGCGATATGTAAATTTTCAACCTCAATTATTGCCATAAAACGAAGTTATTAAAATTGAAAACTCATATTTTAAAAACGCATCCTTAAAAAAAATTGAGTGTGATTTTCGTGTTTAGTGGTCAAAATACATGGAAAAATTATAATATGGTGGGTAGAATTTTTTTTCGATTTTGTAAACTAGTGTTATTAATACAAATATTTTAACTATAACTTGTATCCATAAAAAAAGCATACAAAACCAGTCTAGTGGTAAAATATACTTTGCATATTAAGAAAAGAAGATTCCTTTTATTTTAAAAAAAAGTCTTGTAATTATAAGGTTAACAGCATAATTATTTTTTAATATTTTTATTTAAAAATTAATATTAAAAATAAGAGGGGATAGAGTTGCAATTTAAAGAAGTATATAAAGTAAAAGGTTTGCGCAAAAGTTTGTCAATTGTTTGGTTGTCTCAAAATATATCCATCATGAAAGTAGTAAGTCAAAATAATTACATTTTAATAAATTTTTTTAATTTTAATAATTTTTTGAATAATAATAATTTTTATATATGGGTCATTCCACCAAATAATTTTGTTTGTTGTTTGACCCTTCTTCGTTAATTTTTTTATGTAATAAAATGTCACAAAAATTCAAAAAATCATTACCAAAAAAGACTTGTGGAATGACCCATATATTTTACTTTTAGTTTGTGGTTCTTTTCGCTCTCGTCACCGTGTCCTTGGCAGCGTCCTTGGGAGGTCCTGAATCCACAGCCGAAGTTCTAAAAAGCCATGTTGAGAACATTGGAGTCGAAGGATTCAACTACGGGTAAATCCGCAAAAACATCCCACAAAAAAAACAAAAAATAACCCCATCTCAATATAATTTTCAGTTATGAAACCAGCAACGGTATCGCAGCTGAAGAGACCGGTCACATAGTAAACGCAGGTGCCGAAAATGAAGCTGTAGCTGTCCAAGGTAGCTACAAATATACAGCCCCAGATGGCGTTGTATACGCTGTAACTTACATCGCTGACGAAAACGGTTTCCAACCACAAGGTGAACATTTGCATAAACTTCATTAAACTTAATAAAAGTTATGCCAAATAATAAAAAAGTATTTTTTCTACTCCCACCTTTAAAACGCCCTTTATCGTACATTTTCCATGACACTAATAAACCTTTTAAATACACATTGACAAGTTGTGACTTTATGGCGCTTTAGTCACGGGCTGAAGTTAGTTGACAGTTGTCAAATGTCATACAATCGTTAAAATAAATTGCCTTTCTTGTAAAATAATACTAAATGTAAAAATATTTTATTATCTCAATACAAAAATACAAAAGTATTAAATAGTTTCTCAACGCCAATATTTGAAAAGTTTATATAAACATTGTGCTGACCTTTTAATTTCGCCGGCAGTAAACTATAACTTAAATTCGGGCACGGACTCCACTGTAAAGTGCTCATAAAACATTTTCTGTACTTTCAATGTGAAAAACTGTCAATTTTCAAGAAATACATTTCGATTTATAACCTTCATAATTGTGTTTATAAAATATAAAAATTTGACATTTGACGGTGACACACAGATTCCCCTATTGTTTCATAGATGGCGCTCTATACAAATTTTTGATTTAAATCATTTTAAGATAATAATTATTTTTCGTAGAAAAAGTATAGTACCACGTTTATAAACTTTTCTATACACTCATTAATTTAAGCACTCGCTCGCAAGATCGCTCAACTTTCCTAGAATATAATGTAAAACAACTTCGGGCCAATGTTGGGTTTCAATATTGAACCATTCTAAAAAAAATCTGACGAAAGGTTATTATTATTATTATTATTGTTGGTGTACGCCACTGCTAAACATAATTTATTATCATGTCGGTATAAGAAGTAAAATGTTATGATAGATACCTACCTTACCATCATTATATTTTATGTAGCTTCTTCGCATCAAAATGTCATGGTTACACTGGTACAACCAATATAATAATATTCATCTTATCCACTTATCAACTAACCTAAAAACAATGAAAAAAAAATCATATTTAAATGGTTTTTTATATTAGTTTCGACCAAATTAATTAAATCAATAAATTTCATCAACTGAAATTGTTTGCTTTGTACCATTTTCAAGGCCTTGAACTTTATTAAATGTAAGTTTCAATCAATTTAATGTAAATATAATTAATATTAATTTCTTAATGCTTAATGTTTTTGATTACGTTTAAAACAATTAAGAGAAAAGAATTTAAAAATGTTTGTTTTTATTCAATAAATTACCATACACAAAACACCTAAATACATACTAATAGACTCGTACGAACGCATTATATTAAAATAGGAATGAAATCCAATATTAAAACTTAATATTGACATAACAGTAGGACTTAAATCGAACTATTGCACAAAGGTTAGGCCAGATGATGTTACAGAAACAAATCTAACATAATAATATTATGCAAATAAAATCAAAAGAAAGTGGGGACCTAAAATATATATAAAGTGGACCATCACGAGGGGTATTGTCAAAATACATCTGTACCATCCCATCCAAATATCAAGATGAAATTTGTTAGTATTTGTTGTTTTGTTTAGTTTTTAGAGTTCTACGTTTGACTGGTTTAGTGTGGTTAATAGTTGTTAAAATATTGTGTTGTTTCAGGTAGCTGTTCTTGTCGCTGTCTTGGCTGTAGCTGCAGCTGCACCCCAAAGAAACCCAGAAGCTGATGCAACTGTCATAAAAAACGTCTTGGACAATATTGGGACTGATGGCTACCAATATGCGTAAGTTAAATTCTAAAAGTCCCATCATCACAAAAACAATTTTTTTTTCAATTTCAGCTATGAAACTAGCAACCAAATTTCAGCACAGGAACAAGGACAATTGATCAACCCAGGTACTGAAAACGAAAGTATTTCAGTTCGGGGTTCTTACAGATATTTGGGTCCAGATGGTGTAGTCTACGAAGTCACTTACATTGCCGATGATAACGGTTTCCAACCACAAGGCGCCCATTTACCAGTACCTCCACAATAATTTTAAAAAATACTAGGATTATATGTAAATTATAAAAAAAAAATTAAAAAATATTTAAAATTATACAGGTGTTTTTCTAGAAAGATTTAGAGTTTAAAGACCTGTTACACAAAATAAATAATTGAATTAAAATATGGAACATCATAGGAGTCGGATGCATAATTTAACATAACACTGGTGGACGGCAATTTTGCCATATGGTGGCCAAAAACTTTTCTACACAGTAAAAAATATTTAAGTGTTTTCCCATGTGAAAGTTGTACATTGAAAAAGTTAGTGTAAAACATTATTTTCAATCCTAATAGTATATTATGTATCAAGTTTGATAAACGCTATTTTATACACGAATTTAATTTAAATTAATGAGTGTATAGAAAAGTTTATAAACGAGGTGCATACTATACTTTTTCTACGACAAATACTTATTATTATCTTAAAATGATTTAAATCAAAATTTTGTATAGAGCGCCATCTATGAAACAATAGGGGAATCTGTGTGTCACCGTCAAATGTCAAATTTTTACATTTTATAAACACAATTATAAAGTTTATAAATCGAAATGTATTTCTTGAAAATTGACAGTTTTTCACAGTGAAAGTAAAGAAACTATGAGCACTTTACAGTGGAGTCCGTGCCCGAATTTAAGTTATAGTTTACTGCCGGCGAAATTAAAAGGTCAGTACAATGTTCATACAAACTTTTCAAATATTGGCGTTGAGGAACTATTTAATACTTTTGTATTTTTGTATTGAGATAATAAAATAATTTTCACATTTAGTATTATTTTACAAGAAAGGCAGTTTATTTTAACGATTGTATGACATTTGACAACTGTCAACTAACTTAAAACTAACTTCAGCCCGTGACTAAAAACCTGTTGCTAACTTCAGCCCGCGACTAAAGCTCCATAAAGCCACAACTTGTCAATGTGTATTTAAAAGGTCACTTAGTGTCATGGAAACATATACGATAAAGGGCGTTTTAAAGGTGGGAGTAGAAAAACTTTATTTTTAAGGTAACCCCATAAAAAACTATAAACTTGATGAATAATTTCAAGCAATAAATAATATCCGCTGGAAAGTTCATTCATATTTATTCAGCGATTTTTGAAGGGATAATAATTTAAAAAAAACAACGATAAATGGTAATTTTGTATAATAAATTGCACATAAATTGCCCATAATTTAGCCCATAACAACGAAGCCCCAATAAATCAAACGCTTAGTCCAATAAATTTTTGATGGGTGTATTCGATTGCGTGTCCTGGTATTGTTGTTCGGTAGTTTATATAACGTAGAAAGTTTACAATGATAAATTTATTTAAAATCTACTGTAGATTTAAGGTATACAGTTATTGCCTTCTCAAATTACCAATGTCATTGATCATATCTGATTTATTAATTAAATAAAAAAATGTCAAAAAGAATTTTAGGTGTTTTTTAATTTTTAAAGTACTTTGATAAAAAATAAAAGGTCTTATAAATGTAATTTCTTTTTACAAAAAGTCTACTTAAGGCATTTACAAAGTTTTAGAAAGATTGACTGTCAGGTTTTCGAGTAAAAAATTATTAAAGTTGCCCCATGAAAAATTTCTATAGATTTTGAAAATAGACAAAAAATGATACCCGTGTCTCGGCGTTTTTTTATATCACGTCAATTTTTTTAAGTGCGATCCAATATAATGTTAATGTTATAACCGTATATATACGGTATTCGGCACATAATGTAACGTAACGATAACAGCTAGATAGTATATTTTTATGAAAAGTTTATTCACTGAATAAATGGACAACCATTAAGATTATTTATTTATTTTAAAATTATTTTAATTATACACAGGGTGTTGCACATTTACGAAATACGGTGTTTCACGTTTGTGATCCATTGAGAGTTTCTGAGGAACGGCAAAAGATATCGATTTGAAATTTTTAAAGCGTTTATAATCCAATTAAGCCTATTTTTCTAAAATATTTTAAACAAAATGCCACTTCCGGCTTGACCGGAAGTGACATCAACTTTGTTATTTTAAATGGAACACCCCATATATTTTTAAATTTTTAAATTCTACATAAAATGTTGAGTAAAATTACTGCACCATGTCCCATACCTAGAGTAAATAGTTTTGGAGTTATTAATTTTTTCCGTTAAAATATGACAAATGCGCGTCAATCAAAAATAGCCTATAACTTTCTTGCTATTAGGTTTGCAGAAATGGGGGTGGAATTTTTGGAATCTTAAAACATTGTTTAAAAGATTCTATGTCAATTTCTTAAAGTACCGGGTGTAACATATAAAATAAAAAGTTATTAACGTTTCAAGTTAGCCCAATTTGCCCTGGGTTGTCTTGGGTAATTTGTTGAAAAATGTTAAAGAATTGACATGGAATTTTTTAAACAATGTTTTAAGATTCCAAACATTTTACCCCCATATCCGTAAACCTAATAGCAAACATCTAGAAAAATATTCACTTTAGGTATAGGACATGGTATAGTAATTTTACTCAGAATTTTATGTAGAATTTAAAAATGTAAAAATATTAAAAAAATAGACTTAATGGATTAAAAACGCTTTTAAATTTCAAATATATATTTTTTCCGTTCTCCAGAAACTTCCAATGGACCACGAATGCGAAACACCCTGTATATCAAGTGGTGTTTTTTGGTTGTGATACCACTATAGATTCGAAAGCAATGTATAATCGTCAAACTAAAAGATCAAGATTTGTTTCCAACATATATTTAATATAAGATAAATACAAATTTGTTGTTTTATTAAAAAAAATCAAAAATTGAAACCAAAAAAATAAAATTGTTATTTCCTTTAAGTATATTTAGTATTTTTGTATTATGTAAAAACATAAAATATTTGAAGAAAAAAAATGATTTATAACAAAATAGAGAATTAAAAATCTGTTTAGGTTAAAATAATAAGGCTGTGTAAAAAAATTAAATGACGTGATTTTTCATGGGACGAAATTCGTGTTGTACTGTTTAATATACTATTTTAATTTTTATAGTACTTTTATAGAAATAAAAGGTCAAATAAATGTAATTTCTTGCCCATTCGGCAGTATTATTAAAATCTGATTAAGTCATTGTAACCATCAGCCCACTTACATTAAATAATTACAACTTATATAACCCGAATAACACATACTTATTGTTGATCTGACCGTTGAAAAATCCTACTAATTAAAAGAATCTCTCTGTTCGAGATTACTGTGTTAAAACATCCGCTAACCAATGAAAGCATTCCTTGCATTTTATTAAAGGTTACCGTAGATGGTATTTGGCGCTTACTTACGAAAATTCGATCACATTGTAGAGGGGCTGCTCTTCTTGCACTGAATCATATATAAATTAAGTGTTGGGATGCGGAACCCATCTGAATTCAGCGGTTTTAGACAACAGAACATCATGAAAGTGGTTGGTATTTTTAATTGTGTGATTATAATAATATTATAGTGTTAAGTGCATCATTTTCAGAGTTTTGGATATAAAATATATTAAAATTATTTTTTATAGGTAATTGCCTTATTTGCACTGGTTGCTGTTATATTGGCTGCCCCTCAAGGGCTTGAAAAAGATGCCACCGTTTTAAGAAACGATTTGGAAAACATTGGTACCGATGGCTTCAACTACGCGTAAGTCAAAAAATCACCAACAAATATTTTTTATAAATAGAAAAAATATTCTTTTTAGCTACGAAACGAGCAACGGAATCTCCGCCCAGGAGCAAGGGCAACTTAACAACGCTGGTACAGAAAACGAGTCTCTATCAGTGCGAGGCTCCTACAGATACATCGGTATCGACGGTCAAACTTACGAAGTCACTTACATCGCCGACGAAAATGGTTTCCAACCACAAGGCGCACATTTACCAGTAGCCAACTAAATTTTAGGTGTTGCTGTTTTATAAAAAAATTGTAAAAAGTGTACAAAAATTCAATGTATGTAATAATAAATTATGTTTTTCTTAATTAATAGGACTTTTCATGTTGCATCATAAAGTCATAGTTTTTGGTACACCCTGTATAAGCTTAATTAAAATACGCCTCGTTAAAAAATGAAATAAATTCTGTGAAATGTTAACAAAGGCCTAGAGTAAGTCTGCTATAAGTAAAACAAGAGTTTACACGTGGTATAAGAGTTTCCAAGATGGCCGTGAAGACGTTGAAGATGACGAACGCCCCGAACGCACAAGCACATTAACAACTGATAAAAACATGGAAAAAGTGGAATAAATAATTATAGACCATCAGAGAAGTCGCTGATGATGTTGGTAAGTATATCGATTGGCTCATAATGAAATTTTTTCGAATGTTTTGGATATGAAACGCGTGGCAGCAAAATTTGTTCTAAAATTGTTAAATTTTGAACAAAATTTTTGGCCAAAAACAGTACTGTAATGATGCCCCAGCCTCCATATTCGCCAGACATGCCTCTATCTGAGTTTTTCCTATTCGCAAAAATAAAGAGAACTTTAAAGTTCTCGTCGTTTTGCAAGCATAGATGACATTAAAAGAGCATCGCTGAAAGAACTAAAGGCTATCCCAAAGATCGAGTTTTAGAAGTGTTTCGAGTATTGGAAGAAGAGCTGACAAATGTGCATAATATCCAATGGGGACTATTTTGAAGGTGACAACATTAATGTAGACGAATAAATAAATATTTGTTTCAAAAAACGAAAATTCCCGTTATTTTCTGAACACACCTCGTATTTTGAAATAATTTTCCATTTGTACTTTTGAAAAATTCGTTTAATAAAACATCCATGAAGGTTGAACTTGATGAGGATAAGTGCTGCCAAGAGTCATCCTTGAAGCTTCCTGTTGATTGGAGCCCCCAAAAATTGTCTTCGATATTTGAATTGTATTTTGAATGCTTTCTCCTATATAACCATCAGCAGAAGATGTTGAAGACCACCCCCCAGTCTTTTCAAATCAGGGACACATCCCCCATTATCAACCAACATGGTAGCTGCACTCCTTCGCATACAATGCCGTGTGTAGCTATTGGAATCAGGAAGCTTCAAATTTTCAGTATTTTTTCTCGGCAAACTATAAAATGTGTTGTACAGTGCATTTACCATTCCGGTAACAAACGAAAAATCTGGATTGATTCGTGTTTTGTGGCCTTAATTTACGATACTTCCGATACAAGTCAATTCCGTTCGCTTTCGAAGTTATGGTAAAAACTAGCTTCTTTTTCGTTTTTGTATTACGTAGTGTAACGATAATAACTGATTCATCCTCTTCTATATCGTTAATTGCAATTAACAATTGTTAGTGTTCATAATTCTTCCCCTCGCATTGCTCCATTTAAAGCAAAAGTTAATGCCATTTTCATAAATAGATACGATTCATTCGAAGCGTCATTTAGAAACTTTTTAGGTTCATATCCTTAATTCTGTTTTTCCAAAAATGCAATTAATTGCTTGTATTTTGAAATGTCATTGCCTTCATATATTTGCAACGTACTCTTCAGCATCGAATATGTTGACCACAGTGACGATGCCTTCACATTTTTGGACAAAAATACTAGAAAAAATTTGAAAATTTATTTCACTGACACCTTGTACCCCTTGATTGTTTCTCCATTGACAGAATTTTTCAAAGGTTTTATCATATTTTTCTTTTGACTTAGATGGAAGCAGATTTTAAGTCGCTTCTCTCGCGACTTCCGAAATACCCTCATTTTCTTCAAAAACACTCATCTTCCGAAAAAATTCTGTTTTTATTTAATTTTTTGTCATGCGTTGCTAGGGTTTTCTTTTCATAAGCAACTATGTTAAAGATTGTAAAAAAACAATTTTTGTTAAAATTTTCTTCCACTTTTCCATTGTTCAACTCGTAAGAAAAGTTCGTTTTTTACTCACTGGAAAACTCTCACTTTTCTTTACTTGTAGAACAATCTACTATTTTTCAGGGAAAAAAACGGAAAAATTGGGAAAAATTAGGTAAAATAACGCTAATTGTTTAATTAATAAATAATTTATTTATTTCACAATATATTTTACAATTTTGTACAATAAAAAATACAATAAAATCACAAGGCACATATAGAAAAAAATACTTAAAACAAGTATTAGGCACTATTAAGTAAATGGGCGCCTTGAGGTTGGAAACCATTTTCGTCAGCTATGTAAGTGACTTCGTAAGTCTGGCCATCAGGCCCGACATATTTGTAGGACCCTTTGACTGAAATCGATTCGTTTTCAGTACCGGCATTCTTCAGCTCGCCAGTCTCCTGCGCTGAAATACCGTTGGAAGTTTCATATCTGAAAAGAAATAAATTTTGTGTGATACGTTTTTAAATGTGATTAAATCTTACGCCCAGTTGAATCCATCTATGCCGATGTTTTCCATTTCACTTTTTACTATTGTAGCGTCCTTATCTTGACCTTGAGGAGCTGATAAGGCTAACCCCAGCAAAGCGAAAACGATAATAATAACCTAAAAATACCAAACACTTAGTATATTTTACTGTCTTCATTCATTCGCAGAACATTGGGAATTGTGAAGATTCAAAATACTTGTATTGTAACTATGAGTTACTTGAGTTACATAGTTTAAATTTGGGTTGAGTGTAAAATAAATATTCCTTAAAAAAATGCACAAATTTTGATTTTGTAACTCCATAAACCTCAGAGTTATAAACATTTATAATCACTAATCACATTTTCCACAAAATTCTGCACTACTATCAATCACATAAACTATGTACTAACGGATTTCATGATGCGTCTGTTGCTTAAAGGCACAATGGTTTTGTCATTGGTTTTATCGAGATGGCCGTTTTATAGCTGTGTTAAAAGAAGATGTGCCCCCCTCTCGTATGAAGATTTTGTGTGCAACAATAAGAATGCAAATGTAATCTTGGGTTACCTAAACTTTCTTCTCAAACAGTTTTCGGCGCATTATTCTTAAATGTTATTTATTAACTACGGTATTTAGCTTTGGTAATTGTTGATGTTATATCGAGTTATTAATTTTATGCAATTGTTATTAGGAATAAATAATTATGACTGAATGATAGTTATTGAATTTTAATGATTAAGATTGAATAGCGTGTTTTTCGTGATGTTGGTACACGTGACATTTTGGAGGATTTTTTTATTTTTATTTTATACGATTGTAAAATTATTATGTTTAATATTTATACGAGGCGTTTTAATATTGCATTTATTTAATTAATTTAAAGAAAGTGTTACAAAATAAATTTTATTGTTACCAATAAAATGTTATTTTTTTATATTATGTAGATTTTTATTGAATGGTGAAATTCTAGTCAGGGCTGTGTTCCTCATGGTTTAAACATTGTCACTTTAATGGGTTTTAATTTTAATTCTGAAAACAAACAGTAAAATGCCCAGTGTCCAATTACTGGTTGGTAAAAAATGTAAATTTCTATTATTGGACATATGTCCAATATCATACTCCATTTATATCCCGGGCATTTACTAGCCAATTCCTATGTACAATTGTCCCCTGAATCCGAAAAGACCGTCAAAAACTATAAAAGTTAAGCAGTTTTTGAGATATAGTCCATTCCATATTATATGTAAAATTGATTATATTTCAAAAACTGTTCTACTTTTATAACTTTTAACGACATTTTCGGATTCAGCGAATAATATTTTATAGGAATTGACTGCTAAATGTCCTGGATAAAAATTGCTGTTGACGAAAATTATTAGTGGCTGCTTTTTCGCTATGACATTTTTGACTAATCCATTTTTATAGAGTAAGTAATATAGTGATTTCTTCGTCACAGGACATCTTGCAAAATAACAGTGATTTAAATACAGTGCATGATAGAGAACATAAAAAACTAATGGCAACAAAATTAATAAATTCGGAGAATACTTTTAACATACCACCCGAAAAAATATTAGATATAAATAAATCATCCTGTTCCGGCCTAAACATTATAAATGCTTTACAAACTAGATGATATTTGCAACAAACTATTTCAGAAGTCAGACCAAGGAATTAGTAGTTACCTTCAGAATCCAGAAAAGGGATGAGGAATCCGAGAAAGAAATATATGTATTTACAAAAACGAAATAAAAAAAATACCTAAAACAGCAATAACTATGGTCCATGTGTCCAATTACTATATAAAATGTCCAATTACTATACTTTTTTTCATGTTTTTATAAAACTATTATTAAAAACGCATTTTTTGGCGCTAAAAAACATTTTCTTCATTTAAAAGAGAAATATATTCCGAAGAAATAATTTTGGTTCTTGTACCAATAAATCGCTTGCTCTCGTGAGGTTTATGTTACCATGTTTAAAAAAAGTACAAACAAAAAAATCGTATTATTTTTTCTTTATTTATTTACATTTTTACAAAAATTTCATAAAAATTATTAAATTTATTTTGGGATGTGGGTACCGGTGGGTTGGAAACCATTTTCGTCAGCGATGTAAGTGACTTCGTAAGTGACACCATCAGCACCAATGAACCTGTAGGATCCACGAACAGAAATTGATTCGTTTTCTGAGCCAGCGTTTTTCAATTCGGCAGTTTCTTCAGCGGCAATACCATTGCTAGTCTCATAACTGAAAATATCCAGTGTTGTAGAGATCAAAATAAATGTTTAGTTTTTTTTAACATTTGACCACTTTTTTATGTATTTTTTGTTTCTTTTAACTCTTTTTTTTATTTATTTTTTAAATTTTTTTTAGATTTTTATTATTTTTTAATTTTTCGTTTTGACAATTTTTATTTTTTTATATATTTTTTCATTTTTGATATAAAAAATTATTTTTTTAAATTTTTAATTTTTTTTAACATTTTACTACTTTTTTTTCACTTTTAATATACAAATTTAATTTAAATTTTTAGAGTTTTTTTTAACATTTGACCACTTTTTTTCGACAATTTTTTTTTTTAATCCAGTGTCGTAGAGATCAAAATAAATGTTTATTTTTTTAACATTTAACCACTTTTTTTATTTTTTTTTTAAATTTCTTTTTTATTTATTTTTTTAGATTTTTTTTATTTTTGATAAAAAAATTATTTTTTAAATTTTTTATTTTTTTTATTTTTTTTTTTAATACTTTTTTTCACTTTTAATATACAAATTTATTTTTTAATTTTTCGAGTCTTTTTAAAATTTGTCAAGATTTTTTTAATTTTTTTTTAACTAAAATACAAATTCTTACGCGTAATTGTATCCATCAACTCCAATATTATCATTGTCGTATTTAACAACAACGGCATCTTTATCAGGACCCCCTTGTGGTGGGGCAGCTACAGCTACGGCTACAAGAGCAAAAAGAGCAAGTACCTGAAAAAAAATCTATAAATTTTTTTCAAAACCCAGCACATGTTCACTAACCACTTTCATGTTGATTGATGCAGATTCACGAGAATAACTTAACAATCAACAAAATTAATTTGTTTATATACCGAAAAATAATTGCACAAATAACCAATTTGCCCCCCTTAAAATTTTTAAATAAAATCCTTCAACTATGCTTAGACAATCGATATTTTTTCTTAATTTTATAATCATCAAAATTTAACCTTTTCAAACGATGAGCACATTAATTATCTTATTATATAAAATTAATACCGGTGAAATTATTTTTATTTTACCTATGTAAACGCACGCTTTTGACACACATAAACGGCATATAAATCAATGTGTTCATGTATGTGTGGCTTTAATACACCCACTGCGTTAACTGAATAGATAATCCAATCAAGATAAGCTTGGTTTAGCATTAATTAGTGTGACATTTTTGTGATTTACTGTGCTTCAGATGAAATGTTAAATTTTGCACGGTAATGTCATATTAAATTGTACGAGAAGGCTGGGAAAAAGGATGCTCGTGACGTTTGAAGGCCTACTTTGATTATCAACAATCAAGTTTGGGCAAATTCACGAAGAAATTTGCTTTAAATTTTTAACTTTTCTTTAACTGATTTACGCATATCCACTGATTTAGGTTTGAACCAATTAGGCAACATAGCAAATTTTAAATGACAGTAAAGCACAGTAAAGATTTGTAGGTTATCTTACATAAACTTATATTATATTATAAGAGTGATACATTTTTAATAGTAGATTATGTATCAAGTTTAATAAACGCCATTTTATACATGAATTTAATTTAAATTAATGAGTGTATAGAAAAGTTTATAAACGAGGTGCATACTATACTTTTTCTACGACAAATGATTTAAATAAAAAATTTGTATAGAGCGCCATCTATGAAACAATAGGGGAATCTGTGTGTCACCGTCAAATGTCACATTTTTGTATTTTATAAACACAGATTATAAAGATTGTAAATCAAAATATATTTCTTGAAAATTGACAGTTTTTCACAGTGAAAGTAAAGAAAATGTTTTATGAGGACTTTACAGTGGAGTCCGTGCCCAAATTTAAGTTATAGTTTACTGCCGGCGAAATTAAAAGGTCAGTACAATGTTCATATAAACTTTTCAAATATTGGCGTTGAGAAACTATTTAGTACTTTTGTATTAAGATAATAAAATAATTTTCACATTTAGTATTATTTTACAAAAAAGGCACTTTATTTTAACGATTGTATGACATTTCTCAACTGTCAAATAACTTAAAACTAACTTCAGCCCGTGACTAAAAACCTGTTGCCCATGACTAAACCGCCATAAAGCCACAACTTGTCAATGTATATTTAAAAGGTCACTTGGTCATGCAAACATGTACGATAAATATATTTAATATATGTACACAAAAATACATTTATAACTGATTAAAACTTATTATTGACAAAAACTATTTTTACCCAAGTTCAATGTTAGGGGTAATTATTTTACAATGAACTTAAAGAAAGTTATAAATCGATTGATTTCAAGTATATTCATCTTTTCAATCAGACAAAAAACATCAAAGATATTTGATATAATTAACATGGTAGTAATTTTATCTTTAAAAAAATGCTATTTTTTAATTATATCTGTGATATAGGTATGTTAAACTTCTGAATTTATTTTTTCAAATATATTTACAAACAAAAATACTGTCTATTTTTATTCATATTTTAAATCGTTAACGACTAATAAATTATATCAATCGATTCACATTTTAGATGATTTTATTGGCCAAAAAACAAATCTAGTAAACCATGACTTATATTAGCGAAATTATTTTCTATGGTTGAAAGCAAATTTCGATATGACAACTCATTTAATTTCACAACTAGGTATAATAAATACATGTGTTTATCTAAGTTATAAAATCTAAATAAGTAAATAATATGCCACAAAATCAAAGCTTATCTTATTATATAATCGTTCGTATAGGTAACTTTTAGTTAGATAATTAATTAAAAATAAATGAGTATCATCACGAAAGAATGTAAAATTGAGCTAAGCTTGCATTGGCATATTTAAATATGGGTCATTTACATATAAATTGAAATTCTTATTATAATAAGCACACAATATAAAAGTAAGGTAATTAATAGGTCACACAATTATGTTTGAACTTAATGATGAGTTGTAAAGAAGATACAGCAAAATTATTGCATGAATAAAAAGTGCTGCTAAAGGTGAACTAGCGACATATAAATATTGCTATTGAAGAATAGTATAATAATAAACAATACGATAAAACGAATAAGTCAATGCTTCACGAAGACTTATTGGTTTTTGCTGGGAACATCCGTAGCTAATGTTAACAATTGTTTAAACAATACATACATAGAAATTATGACATACAGTAGTGAGCATAAATTATGTCAACAGTATTTGTTATTAAATCGTAGTTGGTCATGTTTGTAACTGTCAAGTTAATACCAACGTTACAACACAAAAATATGAATCATAGCCAACCGGATACATTAAAATGCAATATAAATATTTCCACAACAATAGTAAAAACAAAGTAGATAATAAAAATCTGAATATTAAAAAACGTGTTTTTGCCCATCTTAAGAATTTTAACCTTTGGTTTAATTTATGCAGTCTGGCTCGTCCCAGGAATAATATAAAGTAATCTATCTCAACTATAAATATAGTTGTTAGTTTTAGATTAAATCTTCAAATGTCATTGAACGGTACAACATATATATCATATAATTGAGACATATTGTTTAAGAATTTACTGGTAATATACCCCAGTAGCACAAAATATTGGTCCTATATATATGGAGCGCGTCTATGCCCAATATTTTATTTTAAATTTAAAGTTCTACCGGAAGTGGCATTTTATACAAAATATTTTAGAAAATGGACCACGAAGGTGAAACACCCTGTATATGGTAGTTCTAGTTCAAACTAAGGACATAAATGAGCCTAATTTCGGACATTTTCTCTACTAGATTTTAAATTTTAAATGGGCAGGATCCTGATACCAGGATACTGAGAATTAAAAAAAATTCTATTTCGAAGGATTTTCATGTTTGACACTTGGAAGAGTGGCTCCAGAAAATTTTCAATGCTTTCAGATGTTCAAAAAAATTGTCAAGAAAGTTTTGAAAAATTTGTGAATTTTACAAATTTTGGGATTTCGTCCATTTTTATATTTATACGCAAATTTTCTTACACATCTTTCAAATATTTATGCACTTTTAACGTTATAAGGATGATTTAAAATGCATTGGAAAGACCCAAATTTAGTAGGTTTTTTTACGTTATTTCTTAAGAGTTAAAAACCCGCAAAATTTCTCTTTCATATAAAACACGCCCTTGCATTATCTTAAGAAATTCCTACGATAAATTGACATGTAAATTACACTCACTTGTCGATTTCGGTATTGCAACAACAATTTATGTTTGCATGTAATTATTTTGTATAGTGTATTGGTTCTTCAATTACCCAAGCCGACCTGACCTGGCTCTTCTTCTTCAAAAAAAAAAACTTTAATGATGCCGAAAAAACCCGTATATGGTAAGTATTTAACTTTATTTATAGACACAACTAAAATTATGCAACATGATAAACTTAACACTGATTTTAATATACGGGTAAATTTCATATACCTACCTTATTCTGGAAACTTAAATGTTACCAAATGGCTGCTTCCTAGGTAGTTTTTTCACAAAAGAGAGGAAGGCAGAAGTCTTACTCGACAAATTTTGTTCAATTGGACAGCTAAATCGCGCACGTTATTTGTGTTTTACGTTGCAAGAAAAAAACGAAAAAACTGGTTTATTGGAAAACCGATAAAAACTCAACCCAGGATTTTCTCTTGAAATACACCCAACAACACAACAAATCGTGTTCTACTTATGTTACGATGATAACAGCCTACTAGCGATACTTATTTAGCGTATTGTCCTCATGTATGAAATTTAGCCTTACAAAATTAATAAATATAAAATCCATGTTGATCACCAAGATAATATGTCGCAATTAAATTAATTAAACTATATTATTTAATCTTAAAATGGTATACAATAAGTTATTCCAGCTTTTAATTAACAAATACCATGGGATGAAATTTAACGTGGTATACAATCCGTGACCATTTATATGGTAATATTTCAAAACATTGACGTCCTTGCTTGGGGCTCGGTTAAAGATTCTGACATTCTGCAAGCCGAAAAAAATCCGAAAATTACCATCTTAAAAATCTCGCACACACCTTGCAATGGCGCTGCCTGAGAATTGTTTATCGCTTGCAGTGAATCTGCTGCCCTTATTTGACATTGTTCTTAGATATTTACTCGAGATAGTTTTATGTTTACCAGGCGACTAATAAACTATTTTATTTGCTTAGAATTAATTGGTGAGGCATCCAGGCAAAAATGGCCGGCAAGATCTCCGGATTTAACTTCACTTGATTTTTTTGGGGTCATTTTAAAACACAAGTCTACAAAGGGTGGCTAGTTTTCAATTGTATGATTCTTGCATACTAAGCTTATAAGAAGATCTAAAATGTTTTGGTAGGATGAGTAATTGGACCAAGACACGAAACGGCCGTGTGTAGTTGACTTTCACCAAAAATTTAATTTATTTGCGAATATATCCAATTTATTTTAATATATTATATAAAGGTTCTTTTGCCAGCAGGGCTGAAAATTATTAATGCATGTAGATAAATAAATATTTTATGTTTTCTCTTTTTATAAATTTGTTCAGGCAATATTAAAACCGTTGAAAACTGCAATTATCGAATTAATTTATTCACCACAAATTATTTTTGTGGTCAGCGCTTTTGTGTTTAATAATTATATTTTTTCCGGAAAACGCTGAGCGTAGATATTAACAGCATCATCAAGATTCCTGCCTGCTTCTCCATAAATCAAAATCATTTCTATTTTTTCTTCCACTGTTAAAAAATCCATTATGAATAACTGCTTAACGAAAGGAGGTCTTTTTGTTTGCAAATTAATCCTCGAACTAAATTGATTAAATAATGCTAAACTATATATAAATAGTTTCTTTATACTTCAATAATAATCATTATTTTT